GGTTCAGCACCCAGTAGTTCTGCTTGACATGATGATCCTATGTTAAGAGGAGTTTCAGCATCATGCTCACCTATGTCTATCGAGTTGGTGTGTGCTGTTTTCGGTGAAGAATTAGGAGTTGGAGTACTGGATTTGCTATAGACCAAGGAACTTTTATTTTTAGTCAGGTTACAGAAGTGGGTAGGGTTCTTTATTTGACCTATACTTGTGCAGGTGTCAAGTGTGCCTAATGGATACGGGTGCACTAGACCGTTCCTGTTTTCATGCAAGGAGGGAGCCAGCTCTAGTGGTTTAGGAGTGTTAACATCCCTACCAGCTGTTTTTTCAACGCTGACAGGGACGCGGGGGATAAAAAATGATTGGATCCTTTTGATGACCATGGCTTATTATTCCACCTATTGTTTGATGCTAGTTGTGTCCTTGTGTGGGTTTCATGTGTACTGCATTGTGGGTTAGTTCCCAGCAGACTTGTACCATATATCCGGTCGAAATTTGTTTGTGTGCCATACTCTGAAGACCCTAAGTTGTTGATAGCCGAGTTCTGACTATTACCACTTGTACTATTGAGGGTGACATTGTTGTGACATTGGATATTAGTGTGTGCCATGGTGCGATTTAGCACGTTGTGGGTGCTAGTACTATTGACCGTGGGAAGTGTGGGTTTATTTAAGCTGCCACTGTTTTTGTTGGTATGATTTAGGGGCATATTTTCCTTACCTTTAGCAATGAAGTTATGGCTAGGAGAGGACAAAGTCGAATTTCGGGGGTTTTGACTTTTTTTCTGGGGTTATTTAATGGCATTTTAGATTCTGCGGTGATAGGTGGTATGGTTTTGTTATTTATTTGGTTACAGTCTAGTGGCCTTTCGGCTGGTGTTGCACTCTGATGGGATAATTCTGTGTGTTTTGAGAGGGGTGATGCGGTGGGGTCTACTGTATCTTTCACAGGGTTGGGAATAATGGCTGCTTGCAATGTCCTATTACCTATTTCACAATTAGTCTTAGCGAGATAGTTGTATGCGCGCCTTTCTATGACTGTTTTGTCCACCCCGACCTTTATATGTTTGTAGTTTCTGGCTTGCGATAGGGTGTGTTGGGAGTGGATGAATTTTCTGGTCTCTGCCGGTGTTTCGAACTGAAAACGAATAGGACAACACTTTTCATGTTGACTCTTCTTCAGCCTATAGCACTTAGTCTTGGAGTTAGGCATTTTCGCTTCACTAAGTAAGATGCGCTGTACCTTTTTTAGTGCCTCATTGTCCGGAACGTTGTAGACAATAGCACTCAGTTTTGCGTCGAGTCGTTTTGTTACTTCTGTGGTAACAAAATTAATGAGGTTATCTACCTTAGTTACCGATTCTGTGTCAAGCTTGTTAAGGTTTACAGTTTTCATGAGGATAGTTAGAGGTGTCAGTTCACAGACCTGCGATCTGATATCGCTGATCTGATCTGATAATTTGGATATCTCGGTATTGGTTTCGATGTTTCCAGCATTTACTGACTTACTGTTTTTTATTTCCCTTAACTCAGCCTTAAGTTCTCCTATAGACAACTTTAGAAGTTCTATTTCTGAAGATAGTACTGAAAAAGAGCTTGATGGCTGGAGTTTTTCGATAAGCACATAAGGTGAAGGGAGGAGTTCTGTATGAGCAGAGGGTACTGAATTTTTAGGAGTAGTGCTAATACTAGCTGTCAGTACAGTTTTATCCTCAGTTCCAGCTCGACGCTTACGGCATACAAGTGAGTTATGTGACTCATTATAGCCGTTTGTAGGGGGGGTGTTGCTTGATGTAGCAATCAAGGACGTTAAATTAGACACCAGTTTTACAGGGGAATGGGTTCGTCGCTTTTTACTTTGATTAACCATAACTATTAGAAATGAGAGTTAGTGGTTACAAGTATGGAAGTAGTATAGTACTTGTGCAAGTATTACAACAAGATAAATTTTATGTAACGAATCACGTAAAAATGTAACGCAAACATTGAACGTACCGCGATACAGAGTGTGACTAGTAATACCTTGTAAACTTGTGGAGTCAGAACTGCACTCTGAAGCAGTAACTCTATTCTGTGACACTCTATTCAACAATGACTTACTAATTGCAACTACAGGCTTCTTGACCACATCGTTATCGTCACACAATTCGGAGTCAGGCCTGGATTTCACGTTTAGCTTATCACTGAACTTGCTCACTGGTTCACAGTTCACCTTTGTATGCACTTCTTGCAAACGTGTAAAACACAACCGTGTTTGTCTTGCATCTTGTAACTTATCTGTTGAGGATGTACCACGAAATCTGTTACACTCACTGGGTCTATATACATTATTAGACATCATGGAGCCTTCTCGATATCCACCTCTCTGAGACCTATTCGTCATCAATGAGTGCGTTTTACCCTCGGACTGCTCTATTCTAGGGGTGAGATTCAATATACTGGCGAGCTTGCTCATAGATTGATTGACACTATCTTTTACCAGTTTCAGGATATCATCGAACTTTGGCTCGATACCCTCATCCTCCATACGGGAGCTTATCTTCACCCTGTTACTTTGCAGTCGAGTAGGTAGGCGTCTTGCTATTACCTCTAGTATAAAACTCGAGTTGAGGTCACTCATGCAATTCATCGAAATCAAGGTATTCTTATAAGTCATAAGATTATCTAAAAACTCAGTAAGTGCCTTGGAGTCATCTTGAAGTTGACTGCCGTTACCTTTGACAGCTTCGTATACGTTCCTTACAATCATCGAAGGTCTTCCAAACCTTTGATGTAGTATGCTCATAGCCTCGTAGTAGCCCTCATTTGGCTTCATAAACTTACAGCACTGTATAGCTCTTGCAGCAACTCCAGTGCAATACCTCATCAAATACATTAGCTTCATTTCATCAGTTAATAAAAAACTACTCAGCATGATCTCAAACTCCTTTAAAAACTGTAAATAATCAGCTGGGTTCCCATCGAAACACCGTGGTTCAAACTTAGGGAGTTTGATGTTCCTATTATCCCTGAACGGCGAAACAGTAACATCAGCCATGTCATGCTTAACATCAGACACATCGTTACAATTAACAGACAAGTCACCATAACTTACTTTCCTGTTTGCATCCAAGACACTCTGTCCCTTCTTTGACCCAGGCATTGTTGAACTAGACCCGATTCCAAAAAAAGTTCCAGATATTGCTTGTTCAAAGAAGACTTGACCGGCACCAGGAAAGATGAACGGTGACTATCCAAACTGTCACCAGCTATCTGAATCCGTCAGAAAATGTTTCCGCCGTCAGAAACTGACTTCACTGTCAGAAACTGTCAGCCACGTCTCGTAAACCGTCAATGCCCAGCTCTTGCTGCACTCGGGCTCACGCTGTTCCTTGAAGTTTCTCAGAAACGCTTAGTAATAACGGACGCAAAACCAAAACACCGATTGGCTACTCGAGAATTCTTTATTGTTACACCAACATATATCCAACTTTAAAATTAAGCTTTAACTAAGGTCTATGAACAAATATGACAATAATAAATCACAATATTACTTCTGACAGTTTTGGTCTGACTTCTTTCTGAACAGCGACCGATGAGACGATGACTGTCGTACTGATGCCTCCGCGAAAATTGGGGAAGTTGGGTTTGAGCGAACAACCAAGAATTGATCGTTCAATCTTCATCTACATTGACACCAATTCTGTCATGTTTAGAGGACTACCTAGCTGAAATACAATTCTGCACTAAGGTCAATCGAGTCCGATCATATTGGCACAGCTCGTCATCAGGAGTGTCGCAGGGTTCTATCCTAGGACCACTGATGTTTTCGAATTTTATCAATGATACACCATGCCATCTAAGCTGCCCAACTCTTCTGTACGCTGACGACGTAAATTTATGTAGGGCGATAATGTTTCCGGAGGACTGAGATAGGCTGCAGGAAGATCTAAACGTTCTGGAAGACTAGGCGGTGGCCGGTGGCATGACTATCGACCTGAAAAAGTGCAAAGCAGTGAAATTACGCACCTGTAGACTGCAGAATTGAGGTTACAACCTGTGCGATGAAAGCTTGTCCTGCACAATGTCGGTGCGCGACTTAGGTCTAGTTCTAATGGAAAAAACTGACACAAACGTAAATTTCACGGGGCATGTAGCGAGGGAATATGTGGTCACACACTTTACACATAGATAGTTAGGTGCACTCACTCCTGAGCTCTTTCCAAGGTTGTACAAAACATACGTCGGGTTACACCTTGAAGTGCATAATATTATTGCACCCCCAATGTTGAGAAGAGAAGCCAACCTCTTGGAAAGAGTGCAAAGACGGGCAAAAAAGGAGTGATTGGTCTCCGAAACAAACTATATGATGAATGGCTAAAGAAATTAGGCCTATTCACACTTAGCTACCATCGGCTTAAGGGGATCTGATTACTGCCTACAAGATGACAAACGACCATGATCATCCAAACAAAGGTGTTCTGCCATTGAGTAGGTATAGGCTTCCTCATGGAAATCCCAGAAGGATAGCCCGACAGAGGGCAAGAACCCAGGTGCGCTGTCATTTCTTTTCACTGAGGGTATACCATCTCTGAAATTCCTTACCGGCAGATGTAGCTATGGCGGCGTTTGTGGACGCCTTTAAGCGAAAGCTGGACAATCATGCAGCGACACAAGGACTGCGTCCGAACGGCCTATCCCCTTAAAATCCCACTCACCATTGGGGGAAAACAACTAAGTTCGTCATTTTACTTCTTTACGTACCCTTCCGTATTAATCTCCTAACAACTCTAACTACACTTATTATTATTGTTACCGATATATATATATCAACTTCAAATTTAATCAGCTGACTGTTGTTACGTTCTCTTTATTTCTTTTTCTGTCTGTTAGTTTGAATAACTTCACTAATTATAGCTATTGTTATTATTATATCTTTTCTCTTGACGGTGATACCGGAGGGCTAACTGGTGAAAGGATCAGCTGCATTCACACCTCATACTACAAACCACACATAATTAATCCCAGCACTACTCCTTTTGGAGTCAGCCAAAGCTACGACAGTTGAGTGACGGGACTAGCTATGCAGAAATTTACCGAAGATCAGGAACCTATACCTTTAAATCATGAAGCGAGCACAAAGAAATCAAATTGGTTTACACTAGCTCGTAAAAACGATATTGGATATTGATAACACAAGCAGAAATTTTTGTGTTGAGAAATTTGATATTTGAAATTGAAAGCTGAACAAGCGTATTGTTTAGGTTTTTCAAATCTCATTGTTTGAATTCGGCTACTTACAAATAGGTCATTCATTTATCGCGGTCATGGCCCACGAGTCTGTTCTGATTATCGGAGGACGTATTGATGAGAATTCTAGCCAAGAAAAGTTGTCGAAGTTTCTTTATGATGGTATGTGGTTTAAATTCTTGACGTGATAATAAGAATCAAAGTTCTGCATAGATTTGTATGTTGTTTTCTTTTGAATGATATTGACACGCAGAAATATGTCAGCATCATAATCTTGAATATAGTTTAAAAAGCATTTGGCTTTTTATTGCAGACAAAATAGTTCCTTACTGATGCATTTCACGTCTAAACGTGTGTAGCGGACACGTGTGGATATTATAGCATCTCACGAAGATGTTGAATATTGCTATCAGAAGTGTGCTCAGGCTGAATAATAGGAATTATAACTCTGTAGATTTGCAACTTTACATGATTTAATGCCTTTTTCCGCACTTCCTACGCTGAAATTGATGATGTATCCCTCTTTTATCCGAAATGTAAACTCAATAACATGGTTGGTTTTAAGTTCTGTGAGTGATGCACTGACTTGCTGTGTAATTACCTCAGTGCTTAATTAAACTGTTAACTTGACAAAGATGTCACAGCTATGAAATGAATAGCTTTGTCAAAAGCAGACGGAATCCAAAGAGCATATCAAGGTAATTTAATCAATACGAATGTCCTCTGCTCCTAAATATTCGTTTATCTATGTCATCCATCCTTTTCAAAGGTTAGCTTAGTCTCTGTTACAATAAAGAAGTTGGTTTTATCCATATGATACTCCTTGTATTCCAATGTATATAGGAAAGTTCCTTGGTTTATGTCAAGGTTATTATATACGTTTTACCGGTATACTGGTATGTAGTATTATAAGTAATTGGTGAACATAGCTTCCCCCGAATTATTACATGTGCTCATTGAAGTTGGTTAAGCATCTGTTCACCTTAATTATTGGACTTCTGGCTTATAGGCCCTGACATCCACTTCACTCTAAGAAATCAGTTGTGGCTTAATAAGTGCAGCTCAGATCAGAGTTTCTATATATTACTTAATTGTATACACAGTAAATGCATTAAACAGTAGTTGTGAATACTGAAATAATGGATGTTCTGGCTCCTATAAAGTAGTAATTATAAAAGCCAATCTTTCGTTCAAACCATCAAGATAGGTTGTATATTAATGTCAGTATTTGAAGAAGGATCAAACTAAACTGAGTAGTTTTTACTATGACGTCAATCATGTTAACATCAAATTCAAAGAGCACCAGACATGGCAGTAGTTAGGCGTCCGTACCATAGCTTTTATGACTTTAACAATAATGTAAACTCATGCTTTTCACAATTATTTTAATTGACTTCCACACTACTGGTTATGCTGATAGTTGAGTCTGTTATCTTTATTCTTTATACTGCTGTTTAACCATTATGTATATTTTACATTTATGTCCATTTAATGAAACTTTTTAAGTAGTATATGGTGGTCTCTAACTACACATGAAAAAGATCGTGTAAGCCAGCCTAAGTGACTGAAGAGAACAAAGTGAAATATAAATGTGCTGATGTGAAGCCTTATGTTCCACTCAGCCCCCAAGCGAATATTAATAATGTGACAAGTGTATTAGCATTTTGATTTCTCCACTTCCTATGTTAGTTCTTGCTACAGGTTCAGAGATTTGATTTTCCTAGATATTAGTCTTACAATTCTGAGTTTTTCACTGTGTAATTACTATGAGAAGTACTTTGTTTCGTCATAAAATATAGATGCCTAACAGTGATTTCATTGATGGTGACTTGACCAACCCTCCTTAGCAAGCCTGAGACATTTAGACGAAACTGTGATGATATATTGAGTAAAACTGGAGTGTTGATCATTACTCTAGATGAATAGTCGTAGAACTTTGTAAAGGCCTCAACTCAACCTATTATAATTTAAAACATTACGTGGGGAGCAGAGGAAATATACTCGTTAAAGCTCCCATAAATAGATAAGAGTGTGAATGCAATGGACCAATGAGGATTACTGCCAGTCCTCACAGTTTTTGGGAATATATAGAGCACACGCATATGTCGCAGTGTAAACAACCGTAAGACATATTGCCAAATCTCTTACGATTGATTCTCAACATCGTCGAAACCCGATCGAGGCAATATTTTCTTGATTATGTATTGGAACCTCACAGGTTGTTGCCACACCTTGATCTACACACTTCACGCCTTTCCATCTGCAACACTTTTGGGAAGATGGCAGTTCATTATATCCAATCCATTCAAGTCATTAGGCACTTACAATTTACTGCCAGTCTGTTCTTCGTTAACCGTCACCGGCTTTGTAAGATATATCGTCTTTGTGACATTCATGGAGTACCTCTAGCTCTATATTCTTGGTAGTTCTAACTGTCAACGGTGTTTTTTGTCTATGCGTAAGCACACTTGAATAAATTGGAAGTTATTTTAGTTTTTCCGTGTGTGAATTTTTTAAACAGCACCACTTCATACAAGCTGAAATATTCCCTTTCACCCACTTGGTTGTCTTTTGTATTTGTCCTCCATAGGATTGGTGGCTGCATTTGGCGGTAATCTTGACAATTTGGATCCATTGTTTCTGGAGTGTTTAACAAAATCTGCAAATCCTACGGATACTAAGGAATGTAAGTCATACGTGTTTGCATGCCTTATACAAAAAATAATATTTTGACGTAAAATGTTGCTTTGTGTTTATATTGAAACTTTCTCTAACTGCTCTATTCCCTTAAGATATTTTATATGAAAAGATATATAATGATACCAGATAGCCTTAAAAAGTGTTTTTATGTTTTCGATGAACAGACAAACACTTGTTTAAAATATTTTCTATTTTCCGTTATTCGATTTTTTTTATTAAATCGGCTGCCAATATGGACGCTTCAGCAATATCTCAAAGTTAACATGGCGTCACTTGTTTACAGGCGGCTAGCAGTAGAATTTGGGATGTATATTTTGACATATTTGAAAGTTACCAACTGGATGTACCTGCATCTTAGGGAGTGATGATGTTCCAAGAAGGTTGGTTCCAAGCATGAGGTTGGCTAGCAACCCCACTGCTACCGAAACTTCCATCATCTAGCTTGAAGGTGCCCTATGTTCCACTGGGAATGTAAAGAAATACAAACAAATAATAATGTCACTTAGCCAAACAAATTCTATCAGTACCTTTCATGTAGGTCGGAAAAGCCTCTACTTCAGTGCTGTCAGTTATAATCTAAGTCGCTTAGTAGTGAATTCTATGCCTTCAAGACTTAATGTTACAGTTTGGAAACTTGGGTTTAGTAGGAAAGGTTAACATCTAATAGCAATACGCTACTGTCTCTCATGTTCTATCTACGTCTTTTTTATTTAGTTCATTAATGATAGTTCATTGACTATCAAATTTATTTATTTAAACGCATAAAAACTTCGTACAATATGGCACCAAGAAGGATGCGCCACACAATAGTAATAAAACAACATAGATCAAAAGAAAAAAAAGAGAAAAGAAAAAAGAATATGTAAGCAGGGAACAGATAAAGAACTTCATCTGGAAGGAAAACAGTCATGCTTAACAAGTTTAAACAGTATTCGTTAACTAACATCGGGAAGGGAAGAAAGAAAGAAATTGCAACACGTGTAGTAGCACGCAATAAGTTTCATTGATTGTTTGTTGCTTCATTCAATTCATTGTGTGAGGGCTGAGATACTACCAGGGCGCTCAAACCGAAGCAGGTGGTTTTATTAAGGGACCACCCTCCCTCCGAGCCTTTGACTTGAAGTCAACTCAAAAAGCTCCGCCGTGAAAAAGAAAGGTTCTTCAAAATGAAAAACAAATCTGGTGTTAAGAGAATGAACACTTTGATTAAGCTTGAATTACAAAGATTGAATGCTCTCTATAACCAGAAGTTTCTTTCATGTAAATCCCCATCAAATATGTGGAAGTTATTAAAGGAAATCACAGGTGGTAAGCAAATGTTGAATGATATTTCTGCAGATGTTAACATGCTAAATGAATCCTTCATATGTATCCCAGCAAATGTTATGATTCCTAACTCAAATAGTGTAAACAATGACTGCTTCTCATGCTTAAACACATACGATGTCCTCAAGTGTCTTCAATCTCTCAAGCCTACTCAGTCCCTCGGTCCTGATGGTGTTCCTGCTGTTATCCTTAAGGAGTGTGCCGACATCTTGTGTTCCCCGCTAACTGACATTTTCAACGAATCTTTTTCCAAAAGTATTATACCTGAATCATGGAAAAACATCAAGATCGTTCCAGTGCCTAAATCTACAAGTGGACCTAATGTTAAGTTTAGACCCATTTCAATTACCTCACCCTTTTTGAAAGTTATGGAAAGACTTATTTTACTTAATCTTGATCCCTCTTTAAAACCTTTCAACGACCCCAACCAGTTTGCTTATAAACATAGTAGGAGTACGTTAGATGCCGCTGTCGTCCTCCACCATAGCATAGTCTCTAGTTTAGATAAAGGAGCTAAATATGTTCGCTGTGCCTTCCTTGATTACACATCTGCATTTGACTCTGTTCCCAGGTCTCTCTTGCTAAGTAAGCTTGCTGCAACACAGGCTGAAAGCTGGACAAATAAGTGGTTGCATTCCTATTTTTCTGAAAGGAAGCAGTACACCGTCTACAATGGAAAATCCTCCACTACCTCACTTACTTTAGCTGGTGTTCCTCAAGGTGCTGTTCTTTCTCCCTTTCTGTTTTCGTTTTTCCTACATGACTTGCCTCATTCTGATGTAGCCACTTTTGTTAAATATGCCGATGACCTCTCGGTTTCTATGCCTGTCAACTCTCAGTCAGATTGTTCCAAATTAAATAGCTTTCTGTCGGAAATTAGTCAGTGGTCCTCTTCAAACGGACTTAAGCTTAATCCGTCTAAATGTCAGGTAGTCAATTTCACTTTCAGACGTAAATGTGACCTACAGCAACTAGTTAGCTCACATGGCCCCACTCTCATTGACGACACAGAGGTTGAAAATACATCTTATGTTAAGTACCTTGGGCTGAGTTTTTCCACCGATCTTTCCTGGTCTTCCCACATCTTGCTAGTTACTAGAAAGATGTTTCGCTTAACGTTCTACATTAGGAAATTTAGGCAGTCTGGCATAAACCAGTCTTTACTTTCTCAGTTTGTAAATTCTTGTATTCTACCCATCCTCCTTTACTGCTCCCCATTAGTCTTTCCTGGACTACTTAAGAAAGACTTTGCTTCGCTGAGAAGGGCACTAAAAGCTGTTAGTAGGGCAAGTGGGATATCGTTAAACCAACTGGTGAACACTATTGTAGATAGACATATTATGTCATGTAAGAAACTAGCGAATACAATATTGTCGGACCCCAAGTTTCTTTCATGTAAATCCCCATCAAATATGTGGAAGTTATTAAAGGAAATCACAGGTGGTAAGCAAATGTTGAATGATATTTCTGCAGATGTTAACATGCTAAATGAATCCTTCATATGTATCCCAGCAAATGTTATGATTCCTAACTCAAATAGTGTAAACAATGACTGCTTCTCATGCTTAAACACATACGATGTCCTCAAGTGTCTTCAATCTCTCAAGCCTACTCAGTCCCTCGGTCCTGATGGTGTTCCTGCTGTTATCCTTAAGGAGTGTGCCGACATCTTGTGTTCCCCGCTAACTGACATTTTCAACGAATCTTTTTCCAAAAGTATTATACCTGAATCATGGAAAAACATCAAGATCGTTCCAGTGCCTAAATCTACAAGTGGACCTAATGTTAAGTTTAGACCCATTTCAATTACCTCACCCTTTTTGAAAGTTATGGAAAGACTTATTTTACTTAATCTTGATCCCTCTTTAAAACCTTTCAACGACCCCAACCAGTTTGCTTATAAACATAGTAGGAGTACGTTAGATGCCGCTGTCGTCCTCCACCATAGCATAGTCTCTAGTTTAGATAAAGGAGCTAAATATGTTCGCTGTGCCTTCCTTGATTACACATCTGCATTTGACTCTGTTCCCAGGTCTCTCTTGCTAAGTAAGCTTGCTGCAACACAGGCTGAAAGCTGGACAAATAAGTGGTTGCATTCCTATTTTTCTGAAAGGAAGCAGTACACCGTCTACAATGGAAAATCCTCCACTACCTCACTTACTTTAGCTGGTGTTCCTCAAGGTGCTGTTCTTTCTCCCTTTCTGTTTTCGTTTTTCCTACATGACTTGCCTCATTCTGATGTAGCCACTTTTGTTAAATATGCCGATGACCTCTCGGTTTCTATGCCTGTCAACTCTCAGTCAGATTGTTCCAAATTAAATAGCTTTCTGTCGGAAATTAGTCAGTGGTCCTCTTCAAACGGACTTAAGCTTAATCCGTCTAAATGTCAGGTAGTCAATTTCACTTTCAGACGTAAATGTGACCTACAGCAACTAGTTAGCTCACATGGCCCCACTCTCATTGACGACACAGAGGTTGAAAATACATCTTATGTTAAGTACCTTGGGCTGAGTTTTTCCACCGATCTTTCCTGGTCTTCCCACATCTTGCTAGTTACTAGAAAGATGTTTCGCTTAACGTTCTACATTAGGAAATTTAGGCAGTCTGGCATAAACCAGTCTTTACTTTCTCAGTTTGTAAATTCTTGTATTCTACCCATCCTCCTTTACTGCTCCCCATTAGTCTTTCCTGGACTACTTAAGAAAGACTTTGCTTCGCTGAGAAGGGCACTAAAAGCTGTTAGTAGGGCAAGTGGGATATCGTTAAACCAACTGGTGAACACTATTGTAGATAGACATATTATGTCATGTAAGAAACTAGCGAATACAATATTGTCGGACCCCAAGTTTCTTTCATGTAAATCCCCATCAAATATGTGGAAGTTATTAAAGGAAATCACAGGTGGTAAGCAAATGTTGAATGATATTTCTGCAGATGTTAACATGCTAAATGAATCCTTCATATGTATCCCAGCAAATGTTATGATTCCTAACTCAAATAGTGTAAACAATGACTGCTTCTCATGCTTAAACACATACGATGTCCTCAAGTGTCTTCAATCTCTCAAGCCTACTCAGTCCCTCGGTCCTGATGGTGTTCCTGCTGTTATCCTTAAGGAGTGTGCCGACATCTTGTGTTCCCCGCTAACTGACATTTTCAACGAATCTTTTTCCAAAAGTATTATACCTGAATCATGGAAAAACATCAAGATCGTTCCAGTGCCTAAATCTACAAGTGGACCTAATGTTAAGTTTAGACCCATTTCAATTACCTCACCCTTTTTGAAAGTTATGGAAAGACTTATTTTACTTAATCTTGATCCCTCTTTAAAACCTTTCAACGACCCCAACCAGTTTGCTTATAAACATAGTAGGAGTACGTTAGATGCCGCTGTCGTCCTCCACCATAGCATAGTCTCTAGTTTAGATAAAGGAGCTAAATATGTTCGCTGTGCCTTCCTTGATTACACATCTGCATTTGACTCTGTTCCCAGGTCTCTCTTGCTAAGTAAGCTTGCTGCAACACAGGCTGAAAGCTGGACAAATAAGTGGTTGCATTCCTATTTTTCTGAAAGGAAGCAGTACACCGTCTACAATGGAAAATCCTCCACTACCTCACTTACTTTAGCTGGTGTTCCTCAAGGTGCTGTTCTTTCTCCCT